TCATCTCAAAATAGACATATACTTTTATATATGACTTTTCTTTTTTGGTAGTGATTGTTATTGTCGATCTTTTGATAGGGGTATACCAGATTTTCTACTTTTTGATGAAATTTCGTAAAGAATAGAGAGTGGGTTTTGATAGAGGATTTGTAGATAACCTTAAACTTTGATAGGGAGTATGTTAAAAACTTGCTTGTTGTTCTCTTTTAGACCAACTAACTTTCACTTTATCAACAAAAACTATGCTTTTATTAATTTTTTTTGTATAAGAATAGTTAGATTAAGATTAAGGTTAAAGTAAAAATTTTACAGAGAATATTTTTAATTAATTATACAATAGGGTTATTCTAGTAAAATTTTGAGATATCAAAAGATATACTAAATGCAGAGTATATTAAAAATAAATATTTTATTTTTTGATACTTTAAATAACTTTAGTTAAAAGTTCAAAATCAATGATCACTCATACCAAACTTATAACTAATGAAAATGAAAAACTTGTTAGAGAAAGTAGAAGAGATAACTACAAGTAACGGTTTTTACAGAGATCATAGCTTATTCTGTTTTTCTCTTTCAGACTCCTCTGTATATTTAGCAAGCAAGTTAAAAGCATTCTTGTACAAGATAACTGGCAGAAGACTAATATTTACTAAAACTTTTATTTATATTGATTTTGCAATAGAGTGCATCATGTGCACCCCTGCACCAAATATAATTATCTCCAAAAATATATATTTTAAAAATTTTATACAATTAAACAAATATTTATAAAAATATTTTAATTTTTTAAAAACTTAATATTTTAAAAGAATTAATTTAGATATAGCCATAGGTTACATGTAGCCGGGGTTAAAAATTATAGCAAACTTAGAACTATTTAAGAAATAAAATTGTATTAAGTTTAAATTAGGGTTAGGGTTAGGCTAGGTAAAATTGCGTAACGAACATTTTTGCTTATGTTATACGACAAGGGTTAGCATAGTAAAATTTTGAGATATTAGCAATTTTATTAATTTTATAATATACGGCTATATGTAGCCATGGCTATATATATATACACCCTATTTTAAAAATAAACTATTTGTAAAATTTTTATATAATTTTTAAATTAAAAATAATAGCTTATTTTTGAAAATATAAAGTAAATAAAACAATTATATTGTATATATATATACTATATATAAAATCGAAGTATCAAAACCTTTAATTAATATATTAATAAAATAATCAAGTATTTGAGTATTTACAATATTTATAATATTCATGTTTATTAATTTATATATCTTTTTAATAATTTCGAAAATCATAATATATAATTATATATTTTTTAAATCAACATATTAATTTTTAATATAAACATTTTTATATTTAAAGCATAATCAAAAAAGCCTTAACATAGTAAACATTACTAATAATAAATTTTAATAATAAATTCTATTGGCTAAATTTTGAAATTACTCTAATTCTAACCAATAGAAAATTTACATATTCTTATTATAATCTAGTAAAAATTTTAAACTATAATTTTAATTCAAACCAACAACATAATATATGGTATGTGTTAGTTAGCATTATAGTTAGGTTTATTAAAAAATTTTGATATTATCGCAGTCCTTATAGATAAGGTACGTGTATATGAAATAATAATTTTAAAGAAAAAAAAATATACACAAAATAAAACAGTTAAAAATATTTACAAGAAAGTTAAAGTTTATTTAGTCAACGAACTATCATCGTCTTCCTTTAAGAATTCCTCAAAATCATGTACAAATTCTTCATCTTCAGAGTCATCTTCCTCCTCTTCTTCGTCATCACTTTGATTTCCAGCATCATAATCATAACCATATTCATCTTCTTGTTCATCGTCTACCTGGTGTTCTGAATGCTGGTAATAATTTTCTGATGATTCAAAATATGTGATAGGCTCTCCATCTGTGCCAAGCACTTGAACATTTATATTAGAGTCTTCATCGTCGTCGTCGTCATCATCATCACCAAATGTTATAGAATGTCGCAGTGGAGAATGTTTAAGACGCTTAGCACTTTGTTCGTAAGTATTTAATTCATCACTAATCCGTTTTAGCTTTATACGTCCGTTGCTAAAAGAAGGCGAAAATTAAATATGAACTATAAACCAAAAAAAAAGCTTTAATAAAAAGTTTAAACCTTTCAGTTCCACTTTCAGTTTCACTTTCGTCTAGAGCGCTTGTTGTATCCCCCCAATCACCAATTTCATCCTCGACTTCACATAAGACAGACTTCCAATCAGTCGATAAAAAATGTTCTTGACGTTCCTGTGGACTTAGTAATCCTTCATCATCAGTAATTTCATTAACCGGTGTTTCAACGATCAAATCAGGAGGTTTTTCTATTTCAGACACTTGCTCTGATTCCGATTCTCGTATAGATGTATCAAAAGAATAATCACGTTCGGGTTGTCTCTCCCATTTTTTTATAGAATCATCCAACCTATTGAAAACAAAATTATGAGATATCAAAACATAAAAAGAAATTATTTATTTCAAAATATTTAAATTACGTGCCATTCTCTGCGCACGATGAATATATTGCCTCTTCGAACTGCTTCTTTTACTTTTTCAGTTCCACGCTATATATTTATGCGAGAATAGTTGAGTTTATGTTAAAGAAATCACACTAGAAAATCAGAATCTGATGAGGGTCCGAAGCGAAAAATCTAGGATATGTATCATTTCATCGACAATCGCTTCACCGAGTATCCCATCACACAGGGCGATGATTAATATTTAACGATTGATGATTAATAATCATTGTTCAATATACTCCTTACGCTGTGTGATGGGGTGCTCGGTGAAGTGATTGTCGGTGAAATGATACGTATCCAAAAATCTATATAGTACAAATTTTTGTACATCACTACGGTGTAACACGTAGACTGAATTCTATTTGACTGAACCACCTAACATTGCATCAGTTTTCCTAGAATGTTATGGAACTCGCTACGCTTCGGACAATAAAACTTACATCACCTGCCACCAAATGGGTGACATTACTATTCCAATTTTCAGAGCACTCTGCACCAAATTCTTTGGCCAAAATCCATATTTCAGCACTGGATTTTATAATTAGTATAATGTTAAATAATCATAACATCCCAAAGTTACGTAAAAAAATGGATATAAGATATAGAATAAATGAACCTTTCTTTCTTTTGACTAGTTGGAATAACGTGCGTGAACAATATATTAACACCTTTCAAAACTTCAGCTTTCATACTAGGTACTAGCACGGTTACATCTGGCATCTTTGGTTTTCCGTTCGTTTGTAAATAATTTTGCATTCGATCATATTCTTCGTAATACCGTTTATGAATCGCTTTCAATGCCTGAGGGTTATAAATAATAATATTAAAAATATATGTATATATATAAAATGTCTTTAACAAATAACTTAATGAAGGAAATACCCTTAATAAATTGGGCAATTCTGTATCGTTATCAACAAGAACTGGTTTTACGCTTTCGGTTATTTGGTTTGACTTTAACTGACAATCGTTGGTTTGATTTGTAATGTTTTCATCGTGCTCTATTTGTTGTTTTTTATGTGTTTTTTCATCAGAATCCTCAGAATTCTCAGAATTCTCAGAAATTTCTACCACAATTTATATTATAATCAGATTAAACTATGACAAATAAATATACCCGAAACATATGACCATACCTTCGTACGTTCTTTTGTTGTTTTGTAATGAGTTTTGCGTTGAGGTAGTTGACATATCGTTTGAAGCATTTTCAACTTTCTGTTCAAGAGGCTCTTTAAGAGGCTCTTTAAGAGGTTCTTTAGAAGGTTCTTTAGGAGTTTTTTCATCGGACGTTGTAGTATCTTCTGGATTTACTGTTAAGTAAAAAGACCTATCTTAAGGTTCATAGTGCAATAAACATTTCTATTTTTTTAAGTATCACTATTGGTTGTGTATATAATACCTTCTTCGGGTTTTACATTGTTCTCTTCTGGCGTTACAGAGCCCTCCGTTTCAGTGATGCCATCAGTCAGTTCTTTAAATATAGGGAAATCATTAACATCTAATAGTATAATAATTTCTACCACGAATTTATTGTTCTAAAGAAATAGTAAGTTTAGAAATGATAGTTCTACCTTTATGAGATATTTTATTATCCTGCTCTGAATCGACTAAAAGAGCTGTTTGAACAACAGTATCACTCTCCAACGAGGAGGGTGTTATTGGTTCTTTTGAAATGACATCAGTTGGGACATCAGTTGAGACATCAGTTGGGACATCAGTTGAGACATCAGTTGGGACATCAGTTGGGACATCAGTTGGGACATCAGTTGAGACATCAGTTGGGACATCAGTTGGGACATCAGTTGGGACACTAGTTGGAACATTAGTTGGTTTCTGCTATATCATTATAATGAACAATGAAAATAGCAATGAAAACAGTAATGAAAATAGTAATGAAAATAGCAATGAAAATAGCATTAAAATGACAATGAAATAGCAATAAATTAATAAATTAATATCACATAAGAAAAATATATAACACAAATTAACCAAGTTTTGTAAATAAGTAAGTTCATTACCTGTTTTAAAAAGCGGGTATCATTAATATCACCAATTCCTACAAAAAAAACATCTATATAAATTTATTTTTAGCTACTATTAGTCAAAATTGCCTTAGAATGTGGACCAAATAATCACAATTTGTTCAAAAATAAACAAAAAAATTACAAGGATGAACTTTTATAAGATTAGGCGACCAACCCCAAACGTCAGCTCGATCATCAATTGCAACGACCATGGAGTCATCGCAGGGAAATAAACGTCGTATATTTTTCTGATTTATGTCTAATATATTACAAAGGATTTTTGTAAAATAGAATTATAAATAATATGAATGTTTGATTTATAGCACTGCTTACTTCTACTTTCATCACGGGATAATATTCGTTCGTTGAATATTTTTTGGTCTGGATCAATTACATTTGCGACGGAGGACGCATAATTACGCGTTCCCATGGTATATATGTGAGGTTCATAAAAATCAGATATACTTTTTAAAAATTCTTTAAGACCTGGTCTAGAAGTGTAAATGAAAAAATTACCAAATAAAAATTTAGTATCACATGAAAAAATGAAGAATGCAAATAAAAATAATAATAATAATAATAATAATAATAATAATAAAAAGGTAATAACCTTAGTTTAATGTAATAAACAGTTGGACTATCAGATAGAACAAATTTATGAATGTCCTTAATCGTAGGATTATTAATATTATTTTCATCATTAATCCATTCATCTACCGTTGGATCTACGGTTGCGTGAATTAGAGTTTGATCTAAATCAACTATTAAAGATAACTTCCGCGATTTCAATAGTCTTTCCGCAGTTTCTTTCTCTAATCTCTCAGCCTCATTGAGGCTAACAGTTAATCCAGCAACGTTATGAGCCATACTAATAGTAGCTCTTTGAGAATAATCAACACCAGTAAAATCTGTTTTCATCATGTCATTACCACATAACGCACACAGACCACGAATCTGAATTGAATGAACGCACGGCTCTTTCACACCAATCACGGCCTTGTCACTAAAAATAAGGTGTAAATAATGATATCACATAATAAAAAGGAGATATATTAAAAAAAAAAAATAAAAAAATAAAAAATAGACATACTCTATATCGAATATAGTCTCGCCTTCTTTGACAAAAATTTCTTGAATTTCACCTTCTGTGGGACTCTTTAATTCTTCGACATAAGGGGTGTCTACATTTAGTTGAATCTGTTCTTTCGTCATTGAAGCAATTTTTTCTTTTTTAGTTTTTTTTACATATTCATATCTAAGTAGCGATTGAGTTTTCTCGATTTTATCACCGGGTTCAACCAGTATATTGCAAATAGTTGCAGGCAAGTGTTCCTTTGGGATTCTTATCAAGTATAATTCTTGATACATTTCCATGGACCTTAAAAGCACAAGAATTGTTTTGACGTTTACGGGGTTAAAACCGGGTAGCGTTTCAATCACGAGACGATCGGATGATCGTAAATCGTAAGTAATGTATGTATCGGGTATATCCAATCGGTTCACGTGTTATAAGATAATTCTGTTTTAATCGCTTAAAAAAAGGGCGCAAACGTAGAATGATTAGCATGCCACTATTGGGCATGCCATTGTGGCATGCAAGGTCATGGCATGCCAGTGGCATGCCCAAATTTTTAAAACCTATTGGACATGCTATTTGTAAAATTACATTTTAAGCTTTTGACTAATGGCATGCCCGGCTAAACAATTTGGTATTCCAGTTGGCCAGTCACCCTACGCAAACGGAAGTTATTACTGTTAATCCCCGTAATTTTTTAACATTATATGATAACTTGACAGTAATGTAATACAAATAGGACCCCGAGCTAAGTTTGCTTATTTTCATGCCAAATTTGCTTATGTTTATTGAATTTCTCTTAAAATTTCCTTTTTTTGGGGAACGGCTAAAGCAAGGTGCGTTCATATGTTTTTGATTAATTAAAATCAAAGGTAAGGATTAGTTAGGGATTTTTCTTGTCGGGCTGATCCCAGTCAGAGGACATGTCACACCTGTTGATATATGAGTGTAGTTTATAAACTTTAAGCACCACATTATTTTCAACTTATAAATTATTTTCAAATTTTGGGATTAAGCATATCGAAAATACGTATATAGTAGAGTAAGGTTATTTAAAACATTGTTTTAAAAGAATTTAACTAATTTTCCCCTGGTTAAAATTACAAATTTTAACCATCTATAATTTATTATGAATATTAAAATTAAAATTAGAGTCCAGATTAGGTTCAGGGTTAGAATTACAATAAGGCTAGAATGAGGTTTTTTTGAACGTTTTTCTTAGCAGAATTTTATGAAAAGAAAAAATTTTCTAATTATAAAACCGTAATTATATTTTATTTAGAAGGTAAAGATAGGTTATCTTAGTAACTAAGATAACCTATCTAGTGTTTGGACCCGTTTAAAAATCTCCACCGGGTCACCCGCCGGGTGGGCCGTGAATAGAGTTGTCGGTGAAACTAATTAGTTTCACCAGTTGGACCTGGTAGAACTGGTGAAATTATAATACAACTTAATAGCTAAATTGGTGATTTGGTAAAACTGGTAAAACTGCTATACTGGTGAAAATGGTGATACTGGTTATCAAACTCTGGTTATAACAAACAAAACAGATAAAGACATTGAATGTTCTTGCCTGTTTTGTTTGTCATAACCAGAGTATAAAGAAGGCGATTTTATCACCAGTTTCACCAATTTCGCCAATTTTACCAGTATCACCAGTTTCACCAGTATAACCAACATCACCAATGTTGATTGGTGATTGGTGAAAATTGGTGCACCATTATAATTTAGTTTCACCAACAACTCTAATCGTGAGTTACCTGGGTGGAAACAGGGTCAACTACAAAAGTTGGGCGTCCTTAAAATATACCCGGGGTATAGGCTATTAACCTATGACTAGGGTGTCCAGAATTATACTGCTAATGGTACCAAATTATGCCTGCTAATAAGGTCAAATTATGCTTTTTATGCTAATGAATTTTTTAACTAAGAA